ACACACACACACACACACACACACACACACACACACACACACACACACATCCTTGTACTTGCATCCAACTGAGGACATTGTATTGACTTCCATTGATTTTTGTAACTGCATTTATGCCTAACCCAGATATTTTCCCTAAAACTGACCATTACTAATCTATTTCTAACCCTAACCTGAACAATAACTGAAATCACAGAGCGAAGTAGAGCTGCAAAAAATGTGAGGACCGGGATGTCCTCACTTTCCTAAATGATCTCTCTTGGTTAAAAACCTAACACGGTTCTCACTCTGCAGAAACAAGTACACACACATAATAAAATGTTTGTTAAAGTTTAAATTTTTAGTGTGATTTGGACCTAAAACGTGTTTTTCTGATAAACTGTATATTGAAATCACATAATCTCCACAATTTACTCTAATTCTCCGTTCATAGTTCCAGTGCAAATGCTTTGAAATCATTTCCCCCTATTATTCTTGGTTGGTCAAAGATTACCTTGCTCTGAGCAGCCTGTGCATATTCGCTTAAGCAGAAACTTTTTAAGAAATAAATAATGCTTCAAAAAACGTTTCCAAAAGGCATTTTCGGACATGAATATTGCAAAAATACTGAAAGACTGGTTTATGTGACATAATTTATCTTAACATTCTTTACAGGAATGCATGTTGTCCACCCCCTGTCTGGCTAAAAGGTTGAAGTAAAACCGTTTTATGAAGGTACAAATATGTGAATACCCAGGACACGGTGGAGCCTGAGAACTCCTTGAAATCAACCCAGAAGAGATGAAAAAGGTGGCTGTGGAAAGACAGGTCTAGGCCTCTCTGCTGCCCCCACGACCCAGCTCTGGATAAAGGAGAAGATGATGGATGGATGGATGGATGGATGGATGGATGGATGGATGGATGGATCTCGTGAATGACATTATGCTGATTTCATTGCAAAATGTGTTAGTGTTCAGAATATGGGTTACTAATGACTTCCAGCTACTACCCAGAATAATTTGAACTTAATATCTAAATTTGACTAGATTATAGCTATCTACTGATTATCTGTGGTGACTAAGTTACTCAGTTGTGGAGGTGCATCGAATGATTACTTTGTGAGTTTCAATAAAATTCTTCCAATGGGTAACAAGATATTTTGCAGAGGTGTCAAAAGTATTCACATTCATTACTTAAGTAGAAGTAGGCTATAGATACTAGGGTTTAAAAAAAACTTTTTTGGAAGTAGAAGTATCACCTCGAGCCTTTTATTTAAGTAAAAGTATAAAAGTACTGGTTTTAAAACTACTTAAAGTATAAAAGTAAAAGTAATGAACACTATTAAAAAAGGCCATTAAAGATAAAATCTTAGGCTGTGCC